TTACTCTTCTTCTTAAGCAGTGCTTTGCTTATCCTGGGTCTCTTTCCTTTCCATATAAAGTTTGTAATTGTTTTTTCCATCTCTTTGAAGAATGTGGAGAGTGCTTCTTAGGACAACCAACTATACCAGATTAAATGGACAACATTTAATCAAAGGTACAGATGAGAAGGCAAGGAAGAGCAGAGAAACTGGGGGTCAAAATAGGGGAGGCAGGGTGGAAATGGGAGTGTGCTGACATACTGCAGGGATAGTGACAAATGCCACAGAACAGATTGTGTATAAATTGTCGAATAGGAAGCTAGTTCTGTGTAAACTTTCACCTAAAACACAATAAAATGCGAAGGGGGAAAGAAGGCATTATGTTGAGCCAAAGAAACCCAGTATTATTTCTGTTTGGTTCATGTAGTTTAACATGGTATTTTATTGTTTACTGTATTATACCAAAGAATCAGTACCAAGGTTACTGTAGAGTCAACTCCGACTCCCGGATACTCCGTGTATGTCACAATAGAATTGTTGTACATTGACTAGAATTTTCAATGGCTGATTTTTTCAGAAGGTATATAATGCCTATCTTCTGAGGTGGCTCTGCATGAACCTCAATGCATTAAATGTTTGTACTACCCAGGAACTCTGTGTACCAAAGATCAGACAAAACTAATTATAAGGATGCAGATCAGAAAGTGTTATAATCTATAAGAACAGAAATCAGGAAGTACTATAATCTATAAGGATAGAAATCAGAAAGTGTCTATCTCTATGGGATGGAAGGTGAAGTGTCAACTGGAAAATAAAAACCAGGGACATTTTCTGAGGTGATGGAAATATTATCTTCATTTGGGGTTCAATTTCCAACATGTCAATTTGTGAGAACTCATTGAGATCTATGTATTTTCCTGTATGTAATGCATACGCCAATAAGGGAAAAAAAGGTCAATGCAAATAGGTAAAAGAAGTCTGACTCTTTGAAATCTCAAACTATCATAATATAATAGTGTAGGGCTACTTACTTCTGTGTGAGATGAAAATAAACTTGGAGTTCCTTTGTTAGAATAGCTACACTATAAACAGACTAGCAAATCATGGCAAGTACTGTAGGGACCATGCCTTCCTCACCCTTGCTTCCCTAAGGTCTGGTATTAGCTGGGCCTCAAGAAGTCTTTGTGGAATTTAATTGAACTTTTACATTAGAAGACTTCAATGGATATTTCCAGAATTAAGTGGCTCAGTGGGTTCAGCCCATTCCAGAAACCGTAGTGCCCTGCCATGAGCCTTTTTACCTATATAAAAGAACCCTCTTTGTTGTTGTTGTTGTTATTAAATGCTATCACGTTGGTTCCAACTTATAGCGACCCTGTGTAGGGTTTCTGAGGAGCAGCTGGTGGGTTTGAACTGCCCCTTTGGCAATACCCAGTAGTCAGAGAATGTGTTGAGAATGGTGAGCCCCTCTGATTATGAATTATCTTGTATACTTCTAGTCTTAGTTATGGGATGACGTTTTTCCCTTTTGAGGAGATGTGGAAATAGCCTGAAAGTGCCCATTAAGAAAAGCAACTTTCAAAGCCTGCTATATTACATATTGTTGAATTTTAGAAAACTCGAGTTAACTGTTTCACCAGACTTCCTGCTAAGTGCCATCGAATTGGTTCTGACTCACAGCAATCCTGTAGAGGGGTTCTGAGGAGCGACTGGGTTTGAACAGCCAACCTTGCGGTTCATAGTCCAGTGCTAATTCACAGTACCGCAGCAGGAAACTATTTCTATAGAATTGTAAGTTTACCAGTCAGTTTCCTGGGAGCATGAGCCACAGTGAAGTTGAATGACTGAACTCTGACTTATGTTTAATTCAAACTGTTCAAAACTTAGTTCTTCCCTTTTGTTTATAACTCTCGCTGAGAGAATCAATGATGCAATGCAGCTAAAGCAGCAGATATGGAAGGAGACATCAAATAAAGCCAGGAAGAGCCAACTTTCCTACAAGGAATTCAAAAAAAGAAAGAAAGAAACCAGACGATGTGTCACAGTGGGCATATCTACTGCAAAAGACGTCTTTCACGTTTGAAAAGATATCACCTTGATGATTAAAGTATATCTGATCCAAGTCACCTACCTCATATACATCCGGAAGCTGGACAATGAAAAGGGAAGATGGAGGATAATTCAAACTGTGGCTTTGGTGAAGAATGCTGTGTGTACCACAACTACCAAAAGATAGAGAAATCAGTCTAAGAAGAGCTACAACCAGGATGTTTCTCAGAAAGGAGGGTGACAAGCTCAGTCACCAGGAAAAGACTTCAAGTCTAGTAAAATGGGGGGCCAATGAAAACGGAGGACCCCTCAGTAAGATGGACCGACACACTGCCTGCCACAGTAGCCTCAACATAAGCATCCTGGAGGTGGCGCATGCCCCTGCAGTGTTTCGCTCGGCTATATGTAAGGTCGCTATGAATCAGAGGAACACAACAGCCACTCACAATAACAAACCATTAAAAAAGGCTCTGATTATCCTTCTTAAACAACAAGCTGGCAAACAAAGTGCCCAACCAAACCGCAGCTGCTGTTGTTAAGTGGTTTCTGACTCAGAGCGACTTTGTGGGACAGAGTGGAACTGCCCCATAGGGCTTCCAAGGCTGGCATCTTTTCAGAAACAGACCGCCTCATCTTTCTTCTTCCACATGCTTTCTGTGGTTTTGAACTGCCAACCTTTCCGTTAGTGGCTGAGCACTTAACCAGAGCCCCATCAGGGTTCCTTCTACCCTTCCTACACTCCCTACACCCAACTCATTCTACAGTGTACTGACAGAATAATCTGTGTTGTTGTTGTCAAGTTGTTAAGTGCCATCAAGTCAGAGACCCTGTGTAGGGTTTCCAAGGAGCGGCTGGTAGGTTTGAACCACCAACCTTTCAGTGTCTATCCTACAGCACCACATCAGAACTCCAATCTGTAGAACATACTTTTACCAAGTTGCTCCTTTACTCTAAATTCTTATTAGCTATAGGATAAAGGTTCAACTTTGTGGCATGTTATTGAAGGTCACTAATACATTCTTTAAGGAGCTCTGGTAGTATAGTGGTTATGAGTCGGGATGCTACCCACAAGGTCAGCAGTTCAAAACTACAAGCTGTTCCGTGGGAGAAAGATGAGGCTTTCTGCTCCCGTAAAGATTTACAGCCTTGGAAACCCTATACAGGGTCACTATGAGTCGGAACCGACTCCACAGCACATAACCACCATCACTACCAATCCATTCTTTTGTCAACAAGCATTCTGTGAGCGCCATATTACTGTGTTTAAAATGAATCGTCAATCCGTCTCCCTTTCCTGAATGCACCCTGCCCCTTCCCATTTCTGCCCAGTTGCCTACTCTGCAACATCTCCACTTGCTGAATCCCCAGCCTTCAAGGCAAGCCACCTCCCTGGGTACTCTCCTCCCTGCCCCCTGCTCTAGAGTTGGTTCCATTTGCTCCCGTTGCACCGGGCACACATGGCTTTGTTGCGGTAATTATTAATTATTTGTATAATAATTAATTCATATACCACATGCATCCATTTTCTTTGTACACATCTGTCTCCTTGACACTGAGTTCCCTGTGAATAGGTCCGAATGAGGGCATGGAAGAAGCACAGACATCAGAGCCCAAAGCCCCGGGGTTTGAAGCTACTTCCCAGTTGTGTGGAGTCAGCCTGCCCTTTCTGAGTCTCACAGTCTTCATACTGGCCGAGAAGAACAGTGTCAGTGTCGGACGGGACCGAGCAGTGTAGAATGAGCTCATGGAGAGCTGCTGGGGCAGACGAGAGACAGCTGCCAGTCTCCTGCAGCTGCTGACACGGTAATGGCAGGTCGTAAACATGCAATGCCACGGTGACAGTGACTGTCAGGAGCTGTGAGGAGCTACAGAAGGTGTTGACATTGACAACTCCTGTTTTCTTTCTGAGGTCACTGCCACCCTCTGCCCAGGCAGCCCTGGGAAGAATGGGGTCCACCCGTGTCTAAGGCATAACCCTCAGTCTCTTCTGCCTCTCCTCTCCTGTCCTGGCCTTTCCTCTCCTCTCCTCTCCTCTCCTCTCCTGTCCTCTCCTCTCCTCTCCTCTCTTCCACCCTCATCCTCACACTATGCCTTGATTTCCCACTGTCACCCCTTGGTCCAGTCCACTGTGCTGGTCTCCCTCCCTCCTGTCAGGAGAAGCTCTGAACTCTGCTGGTCCCTATAGGTCAGGCCCAAATGACACTTCACACCTCTTTGCAAACCACCCTGTTTATTCTGAGGGCTAATTATCTTAAATTACCACTTTCATGAGGCCATGACCCTCTTAAAATCCTTTAACAGCACCCCAGGGCCCCACCTTCCTTAAACACCCTTTTAGGCTCCCTGAAGTCAGTCCTGAAGTTGTCCTTGTTTCCAGAAGACCTATCCTTCACACTCCTGTGAGGTCAGCTTTCTTCCTTCTATACCTGGCCCTGAGCACTCATCTGAGACGTTCCTGTCCTTCTCGTCCATGTCCCCTTTAAAGCTTCATCAGACACAGAATCCTTTCCTTTAGGACCCTGTCTCCTTCTCTCTGTCACTTGTTTGCAAACTCAATTATGTCCACAATTTACCAAGCATTCTTAACTGGGCCCCCTCCTTCCTTAATCAGATCTTCCTAACAAAGAAGATAAACACACACACATTCTGTTTAATTGCCTTTAAACCTCCAGATGTCCTGCCTGATGCAAAGTTCTTCTATCTGCCTTCAGCCTGGTCACAGCTAAGACTCTGGCTGCTGGGGAGGGGGCACTGGGGTGGGGACTTGTGGGAGCTGGAGGGAGGAACAGTGAGGATCATGGTCAGGCACTGAGAAAACCTCCCCACTCTTGCTAAGGCCATGTTCTGGTATTCTTAAGTGACCTGCTGTCTAGCAGGAAGCAGGGGTGTCCCTACTCACAATGAGGTTCCCTTGGGCTCTGTCTGATGCTGGGGCCACTGCTGACAGGGTGGTCACTGGGGTGGGGCTTACCCCTCAGGAAGGTTCTCTCTGACAGCAGTCAATGTCCCCAAACACCTGTCTGGATTGATGTCCCACTAACTAGGCCCCTTCAGCTAGCTGGGCCTTACAGGGCTCCATCCCTTCCTTGGGACCCCAGACAGCACTGTCTCTGTTTCCACAGGCTCCCGGGCTATAAAGACGTACGTCCCATCTCCTCCCCAGGCCCATCGCACCAGGCACTGCCTTCCAGTGGTCCACAGCTTCAGACATCTCCAGAGCAGAATCTGGTGCAGGTGTGCTTACCTCCACCCCTAGGCCCCAGGCCACGGCACAGAGTCTCTTAGGAACCCTGCAATCCTGCAAGCGTCTCTAGCGTTCTATTCACGCTCAACTGAATGGGGTTCTTATGCCTGCAATCAAGAGTTCTACCAAACACAAATCCATATTCACACCGGACACAAAAAGACATTTCATGTGGATTCAAGATGGAAGTTTAAAGAACCAAATAAAGCAAGGAATCACAGAGGAACATTTGTATAATTTGAGCTGGGATGTGTGCTGTTGAGTGGATTTGGACTCGTAGTGATCCAACAGGATCAAGCACAAGTGCCCCAGAAGGGTTCTAGCTTGTCATCGTTTAAAGTAGCAAAGCGTCAGCGCTCTTCTTCTGCAGAGGCACTGGGAGGCTCAGACTGCCCACCACCTTTTGGTTAGCAGTCAAGTGCTTCACCTTTGCTCCGTCCTGAATGTTGCAGAAAATCCAGTGGCCAGAATGGGACAGATAGAAATTTTTAAATTTCTATTGAAATTACTTCTTTATGACAAGTTGTTGTTAGGGACCATTGAGTAGGTTATGACTCACACCATAAAAAATAAAGAAAGACACCAAACAACCACCACAAAACAGACTGGAGAAAATATTTGAAATTTGTAACATATATTATTATTGCTGTTGATGATGTTGTTGTTGTTAAGTGCCACTGAGTCGGTTCTGACTCATAGTGACCCTGTATATGGTTCCCAAGGAGTGGCTGGTGACCTTGCGATTCAAACCGACCTTTCAGTCCAGCACATTACCCCCACAGCACTAATGTTGTTGTTGTTGTTGGTTCCAACCCATAGCGACCCTGTACAGGGTTTCCGAAGCTGTAAATCTTTACGGGAGCAGAAAGCCTCATCTTTCTCCCGTGGAACGGCTGGTAGTTTCGAACTGCTGGCCTTAAAGTTCGCAGCCCGACTCATAACCACTACGCTACCAGAGCTCCTTACAGCACTAATAGGAGAGGGTTAATATCCTTAATATACAAAAAGTCTTACATACCACATAAATTCATTTTTTAAAAAGAGCAAAAGATATGAATAAGTCATTCATAGAAAAAAAATTACAAATGGTTAATAAACTTGAAAAGACGCCCCAATTCACTAGTGGTCTGAGAAATGCATATTAAATAGAGACACACATCCCCAGAACCTTAAAAACTGAGGCTATCCCATATTGGTACAGGAGGGGGCGCTAATTCTCACACCTGTTACTGTCCCTGTTGTTCAGAGGCCAGCTGGACAGTACACATCACTGAATTGGAACCTGCTCTTTGTCTAGGTGATGCTACCTCTAGAACTTGGCCCCACGGAAATGCTTACACCTGTATGTAAAGGTATGCAAAGGGCTAATTGATGGGGACTAGTTAAATAAAGAAAACCCATTCTGTAGTCTACTGCAAACCTATTGCCACTGAGTTGATTCTGCCTCATAGTGACCCTGTCAGACAGACCCTTTGGACTTCTGAGACTGCACGTCTTTCTGGGAGCAGATCGCCTCACCTTTTCCACTGGAGCGCCTGGTGGGTTTGAATCACCAACCTCCTAGGCTGCAACCCAACACTTAACCCATTACCCAACAGGGCGGGGCTCTTTATCGCATACTCTCCAGTCATTAAAAAGAAGGGGTAAGTGTTTGAGGGGACTTCAAAAAGCTTGTGGAAAAATGGAATTGAAAGAGAGTGGAATTTTTCCATCAACTTTTTGAAGCCCCTTCATATGTCCTAACATGGAAGGCTGTGTATGCTATAGTGTTGATTTTTAAAAGTCAGCCCATGGAACAGTATGAATGATACTTGGAGGGCTTGTAACGCATAAAGGCAATGAACACAGATTGTGGGCCCACAAAGCTTGTGTTGAAATCCTGTGATGTGACCTTGGCTAACTAACTAAGCTCTCATTATCTCCGTATCTTCTTAGTAATGAGAATTCAATGGAGCCATACCCACATAATAAGTACTATAGAAGAGTTGTTGTTGTTGTTAAGTGCTGTTGAGTCTGTTGCGACCCACAGTGACTCTGTATAGGGTTTCTGAGGAGTGGCTGGTAGCCGCAGACCTTGTGGTTCAAACCGACTTTGTAGCCCAGTGCACTAACCTGCAGCGCCACACCGCACAGTCAGAATGGCATCGTTACATGACACCAACGTGCTGTACAGCGAGGAGACCCTCAATTCCTGCTCCACCTGCCATTCTCTTTTTCAGCTTCATGAAAGCATGTATTACTTTTGTGTTTCTGGAACGTGAAAAAAAGTCATTGGGGGTAAAAAACTGAGGACAGAAAAGAAAGCCCCTCTGTTGGAGAGGTGTTTCTGTTATAAGAAGAGTGGTCCAGGCACTTTGACCTGGAGCCCAGGATTTCAGTAGCCTCCCTCAGTGGGGAAGCTCCCACTTCACTGATGAACCTTTTAAAGGTGAGTGTGACTTTGAAATGAATGGAATCTACATGTTAAATCTCTCCCTTTAGGACATAGGGGATGACATGTAAGAACTCACCCCAAATTACTCATAGTTCCAGAGGGAACACAGTCCTGGATTCTGTGGTTTCCGGAGACCCATCTGATCCTTCTCACATTTCCTCGGCTTCACTTTCCTCTACTCAGGCTTAAATGCTTGGAGCATCTAGGCTACCCTACAAAATCATCTCCCCGAAGTCTACCCTTGGTTATCCCTTCCTATTGGCTCTTGACCGAACCCCGCCCCCACCCCCCATGTGGACAGAAGGGGCCAGAGCTTACCTGGAAGGCTTTGTGTTGGGTTCTTTAACGAAGGAGGGCAAAGAGAAGAAGAGTAAGAAGATCAACGCAGCCAAGAGCAATGGCCATTGGGCAGCCTGACGCAGACAGCTGAGTCTCCGCGGGCAGGACTTCATGGTGGTGGCTTGGGCACTTGTGGAAACTTCTGTATGTCCTGGGGCTTTGATGCTGATGGCAGATAGTGCCACTGCTCAGGTCTCCCAGCCAGGAGTGCACATCCCTTGTCTCAACAGGAAGCCACTCTGGGAAAGCTGCAGTCTGTCCTGCCAAGAAAAGAAAGGCCCGCCTTCGCTGCTTTATGAAGGTTCATAGGCTGGCATGGCATGAAGGAAGAGAAACTCCTTTTGTTCAAACAAGTACACTTCCTTTTCTTTGTCTTGGAAGCCAATCTCTGAAGGTAGGCCTTTATGAGAAACATACATGCACGATATAAAATCACGCTTTAATTAGGTTCCAAACCCTTGGGGACCTTGGACCAGGGAAGGGTCTAGGTGAGTTTTATACTACCTCCACACTCAACATGAGTTTGAGAAGAAACTACACGGAGCCTGTTTAGATTTGAGACTCCTAGCAAGCAGTACTTTCCTACAAGAGCGCTGTGCTCCCTGGGATAACCCCAACCCAAGAGCAGTATGGACACCCCTCTGTATGGGTGGTGATAAGCACAGATACCTGGGTTCAATCTAGACCCTACAGCTTTTGCTATGGTTACTACTGCGGTTGGTTTGCCAGCTGCCTTTGCATGGCTTCACAAGGACACGTCACTCACACAGCATCTGGAGTGGCAGCTCTCAGTCCTGGGGGTGTGTTAGAACTCTCTAAGAAGCTTTCAATAATCCCAAGGCTCAGGCACCCCAGCCAATTAGACCAGGCTCTCTGGAGGTGGGGCCCTGGTACAGGGATTTTGCTGAAGCCCCACAGGTGATTCCAGTGTGCAGCCAAGTGAGAAAACACTTTGTCCCTGCAGTGTTTTCAATAGACAAGTACCTTTATGTAGAGCCCTGGACAGAGCCTGGCACCAAGAACCCGTTTGGTGAACTTTCCATGGGTGATCTTGAACAAAGCAGTTGTTTTCACTAAGTGCTGTCGAGTCGGTTTCGACTCCTAGCAACACTGTACAAGTTCCAAGGAGCAGCTGGTGAGTCTGAACCACCAGCATTGCAGTTAGCAGTCCAGTGTTTCTCCCACAGCACCACTCCAGCACTCCAAGTGAAGCCGCGGGAAGTAGGGGAAGCACTTAGCTCAGCACGTAGAGGCCCGGGACCTGGACCCACGCACTACATGGTCACCATCTGAAGCCCCTGCCATCAAAAAAGTGACACACAAGCCTGAAGGCTTGCGTGAATGCTGTACACACACTGCCTCTGCTCAGCGAGGAGAAACTGCCCCAAGATGGGGGCCAGATGTGCCTGTCTCCAGATTGTGCACCGACCCTAACTTGAAGCCACTGTTAACTCTGCTCTGATAGGAAAAATATGAGGAGGCTTCAAAACAGTCATGGAAAAATGGAATGGAAAGAGAAGGGAGTTTTTCCACAAGCTTCCTGAAGTCCCCTGGTATACATAACGTTCACTTAGGATGAAAGAAACTTTATCAAGGCCCCTCCCCCAAATAAACCCCACTGCCCTCAAGTCAGCGATTCCAACTCAGCGAAGCTGTGTAGGGTTTTTTGAGGTTGTAAATCTTTACAGGAGCAGAAAGCCTCCTCTTTTTCCCGAGGAACGGCTGGTGGAGTCGAACTGCTGACCTTATGTGTGGTTAGCAGCCCAACATGTAACCCACGGCACCACCAGGGGTTCTTACAATTAAGACCAGTTGTAGGAAAATGAAAATCAGAAAGCAGGCCTCCATCCAGAGCTGAGTGATGCATTTTAAAATGTGTTCAGTGGTGAGGCACACGGTGTTCACGCAGCTCAGAATAGGGCTGGAGGGCTGGAGACCTAGTTCCTAGACTACACGGCAGTGGGTCTCCCCTGAAGCACAACTGCCATATTGTACCCGATGACCTTGACCTTCACCCAGGACATGCACCAATAGATGCCTAACCTGCCCTTCCCAGGGAAGATGAGAAAGATGGGCATCTGCTTCTGAGCAGCTGAGAGGATACTGACAACATGTGGGCGTCCTTGACCTTGCCTCCTACACTGCAGCGATGGGCTGGGCGAAGGAGAGGTCTCACTCAGTGCTCTCTCTCTGATCACACCACGTTCCATAAACACCACTCCGAATAGACCTGTGTCAAGTTGTAACGCTGCCCTAACTGACCCCTTTATTCCTCTGTCCTTGGCACTTCTGCTAACAACTTGTACCGTGGGAAGGTCATTTTCTTACCAATGGCGCTGGTTTGTGTTTTGCATCTCACCCTGCGTTCTGAGGGGCCCTGGATGCCACAGAGCGTGAAGAGCTCAGTATGCTTCAGGGTGCAAGCTTAGCTGCAAAATACAATCTGTGCATCTAGTACCTGAGGGGTGGGCTGAACATGGAGCCAGCTGGTGAGATGGGGTGACCTGGAGCTCTGGTTTCCTGGTTCTCAGGTTCTGGGCCAATACTACTATGCAGCATGCCTGCGTAGAGTGTGAGAGCCAGAGAAATACCTCTGTGACTGGAAGCAGATTTTCCAATAGTTTCCAAACACCATCATGATTCTCAAGTTTGGTAACTAACTAGACAAATGAATTCAAGGGAGAGTATTTTGAGACGTTGGCTTATCTTTTTACTGGGTGTGTGAGATAGAGTTTTTGCATGATAATTTTGTAACGCAGATACTAGTTGTTGTTAAGTGACCCTGTACAGGGTTTCCGAGGCTGTCAATCTTAACGGGAGCAGAACACCTCACATTTCTCTTGAGGAATCACTGGTAGTTTCGAACTGCTGACCTTGAGGTTAGCAGCCTGATTTGTAAACACTACGCTATCAGAGCTCCTTGCAGATACCAGTAGTTAATTATAATTGTAGAAGTTGTGTAACTAAAAGGGAGGAGTAGTTAATCTTTCATTTCAGGAACAGATGATCCCAGGACCATCAAGAAGGACGAGCATGAGTGGAGTATGAGATCCTACCTAGAGAAACAGCGACAGCAGAGACAGAGGCAGAGGTGATAGCTGAGAGAGAGAGAGCAGCTGAGGACTCTAGGCCTGTGGATTGAGAAAGCCTCTGTGCCTGAGCGCAGAAGGCTGGATTGCAAAATGTGCCCTTTGGACATTTCAATGAATATATACTTTTTGTTTTGTAGGTGTACCTCAAACAGTTGTGCTTTGTTCATTTGTGAAAAATCAGCTGTAAAAGGCAAGCCACGGGGAGGGGAGGAATCAGGATCCCTGCTGTTGCAGGGAGGGGAGTGTAATCACTGAGATGAAACAAAATGTATGATTGGTTGATGGTAAAGCTGGTGGTCTGGTCTGTTTACCTTCACTCAGCCAACGATAAAAAGTTGAAAAAAAAACTTTCTTGCAGAAAAGGGTTAAATCATGACTGTCCTACAGATTTCAAGGTCAGCAGTTGAATGCTGTAACTGCTCTGCTGGAGAAAGATGAAGCTTTCTCTTCCCATAAAGATTGACAGCGTCGGAAAACTCTATACAGGGTCCTTATGAGTTGGAACCAACTCCACAGTACGAAGCAGCAGCAGCCGCAGCAAAGGAACCCTGGTGTGAGCTGTAGGACAAGCACTGGACTGCTAACTGAATGGTCATTGGTTCAAACCTACCAGCTGCTTCTCAGAAACCCTATACAGGATCACCATGAGTCACTGAGTTGCTGTGAGTAGGAACCAACTCAATGACACTTAACAACAACAACAAAGAGCCCCTGATGGCACCGTGGGTTAAGTAGAGGTTGGCAGTTCAAACTCACCTGTCATTCATTCCTCAGGAGGAAGGTGAGGCTGCTTGCTTCTGTAAAGGTTTTGGCCTTGTGCAGTTCTACCTGCCCTACAAGGTTGTTACAAGTGGGAACCGATTCCATGGCAGTAGGTTTGATTTGGTTTTCTTTAAAGGCATCTCAGGAGCCCTGGTGGCACAGTGGTTAAAGTGCTCAGCTGCTAACCAAAAAGTCTGGCGGTTTGAACCCACCAGCTTGTCCTCAGGAGAAAAATGTGGCAGGCTGCTTCTATAACGGTTTACAGCCTTGGAGACGCTTTGGGGCAGTTCTACTCTAGGCTATAGGGGTCGCTGTGAGGCAGAATTGAATCCCGTCAAGTAAAGGCGAGCTTAAACCAAACCCCAGCATCGAGTCAATTCTGACTCATAGAAACCCTATAGAATGGAGTCAAACTGCCCCATGGGCTTTCTGAGACTGTCACTCTGTAGAGGAGCAGACAGCTTTAGCTTTCTCCATGGAGCGGCTGGTAGGTTTGAACCACCGACCTTGTGGTAAGCAGCCCAACACTTACCCACTACTCTACCAGGGCTTCTTAAAGTGACTTGCAAGCTGGGTCACTTGAAGCTCTCCCACACTGGCCAGAGCTCTGAATTTGCATACCTATATATTGTGTTGTTGTTAAGTACCACCCCACAGCAACCCTGGATAGGTTTCTGATGAGCAACTGTTGAGCTTGAACCGCCAACCTTGTGGTTCAAACTGACCCTGTAGTCCAGCGCATTTACCCACAGTGCCACACCAGGGTACACCATTTACGCTGTTGTTGTTAAGCACCATCGAGTCTGTTCCAACTCACAGTGATCCTACATAGTGTTTCCAGGGAGCTGCTAATGAGTACGAACCACCAACCTTGTGGTTACCAGTCCAGTGAGAGCTTACCCTACAGCGCCTCAGCAGGAGTCCTCACACACTATTTATGGAAATAGAAAACATCTCCAAGTTCGAGCCCACCAGCTGCTCTGCGGAAGAAAGATGAGACTGTCTGCTGCCGTAGATTTACAGCCTTGGAAACTCTATACAGGGTTGCTGTGAGTTGGAACTGACTCCACATACAAAGCAGCAGCAGCATCAAAGGAAGCCTGGTGTAGTAGGATAAGCACTAGACTGCTAACTGAAAGGTCAGTGGTTCAAACCCACCAGCTGCTCCTCAGAAGCCCTATACAGGGTTGCTCTGAGTTGGAACCTATTTGATGGCACTTAACAACAAGCCCATGGAAGGCCCAGTCACGCACCTGGAG